TTCAGGCAAGAATATGACGCGTTATAAACATTCCGTAAGAAGTTAATGCATTTAGCCTAGGGACACTTACAAATATATGGCAAAAGCAACTAGAAAACATATACATGTTAAGTACAAAAAGTCATTAAGTAAAATAGTTGAACTCGCCTGGGTTATTTTTGAAAATTAGATTACTCAGTGGACGACATATATAACGCCATTCGTGAGTAGTAATGATCCAAAAGCATCCAGAATAAAACATGCAGTATGGCAATCACTTCCAGGGTGCTTGATGCTGTCGAGGTTTTTGGGACTCACTCTGATCAGAACAACTGAATGAATCCAGATAATTGTGTGTGCCATTGAATCAGCCATCTAAAATGAACTCATGATTGCAGAAAACTTATAGCTGGAACTCACCGAATTTTTTTGGAGAAGTGTCACCCTTGTTGTTTGGCAATGGAACTCGAGAATATGAAATTAGGCAGGCAGTGGTCGGAAGAAAAGATATTACAGGATAGTGCATAGTTTAAAACAGGACGAGGTGTTAAGCGAAGGAATTAGATCCAGATAACTATTCAATCCTTGATTGCATTGTTAGTCAATGTATATTTACGCTACTAACAGGTCATATTTGCTAGAGCTTGATGCTTAAACAAGCCTATGTCGCTGAAGCATGTAAACGCTATTAAAGCTTGTTAACGAACCATCAAAGCTAATTAGTTAATATAGACGACCAGTTTTTATTATCGAATGAGCTAGTAAGTTATGTGAACTAATAGATATAACATTACGATAATATATGTGACCATTAATCAAAGGACTATTAGAATAGTGGGTTTACAAAAATTAAATCCGATTGAGAAGGTTAAGGTGGAAATAAGGATTAACAATAATAGGTTGCGTTTCTTTAGTTGGGCTCACCAATGTAGAATTATGGTCTACTATGATATTAGTACTGCTCTAATAATAGACCTAATCCTAAATTTGTAGATTTGTCATGATATAACTGCCTAATCTATAAGATCTTACGTGGAAGTCACACCATCGACTACACCAACTCACTGTATCGTATCAATTACCAATACATGATGTAGAACAAGGTTAGGCTAGAGAAAGAACAATATATTTAATATGAATAGAAGATATAAAGTAACATTGAGATGGACCACGCCTGCATGGCCGAGCCATGCCATACGATCAACTCCAGTCCATTCAATTCATTGTTCGCGCCTTCTCCATCGTTAGGTATTTCTCCGCGTTAAATATTGAATATCTATTTCCTGAGTAGTCTCGTGTTCACAGCTTTGTGGATTGTGTGGCTATTGTCCAATGCCACTACAGATATACTGGAACGAATCCAATGACGAGGTACTAAAATGGTACAAGGTCTATCTGGTCTATCTTATGAAGACAGACTGAGACACCTTAAATTATTTCCGTTATCTTACCGTAGAATACGGGGTGATCTAATATTGGCCTATCGTATACTGAACGATAACCTTTGTATTAACGAGTCGGCGAGACTCTGGTTTATGACGATTCAATGAGTAGCGTTTGAGGAATTTGAATTATTAGCCAATCAGAAGACTGTATAATGTGAAACTTTATTACTAGAAGGTGATAATTCACAGTGGATATATTTCTTTTACATGATTTAAAATCTTGTTAAGTTTAGATAAATGCTTAGAAGTTCTGAATTCATAATGCATATGGTATAGAAACTCGTCCATAGGGTTAGGGTGCTAACATGCGATCGGTTTACATCGGATTTTCGAGAAGAGGTGTTAATTGACAGGCTACAACCCCGACCCTAACCCTATGGACGAGTTTCTATACCATATGCATTATGAATTCAGAACCTTTATGAAACCTTAACAAGTTTTTAAATCATGTAAAAGAAGAATATCCACTGTGGTTCATTACTTACCTACAATATATTTCCACTTGATACTAACTGCCTTCTGATTGGCTAATAATTGTCAGGGTCATTTAAGATTCGTTAAAAGGTCGTCGCTAACATGTCTTATCTTTTACTTCCGCCTAGGAATGATCATTTGAGAGGGCATTCGAAGAAAGTTCAAAAACCGAGATCAAATCGTCTACTTATGGAGTTTGGTTTCTCGCACCGAGTAATGAATTACTGGAATTCTCTACCGGAACACGCGATATCAACACCTTCTGTTGATATATTTAAAACGACATTGGACCTATACAGTGTAACAAACTGCAAGGATTAATATGGGTCGATAGACTTCCTATCCTTATTACTTTAGACTGTAATGAGCCATGCTTTTTGGAAGGCGGAAATTCTAGGTCTTGGTTCTTCCAGTTGATATCTTAATTCGAATATAACGCTTTAAAACATAAGAACGTTCGTTTAGCATACATCCAAGGTATTTTGAGGACCTCGCTTTCTACCCATACGTGTATCGTCTTCCACGGTCTAATTAATTGGACACCATTGTAGTATTTGAATTACAGTATGAACTAGGAATTCTAGAAATAACGTAATCGGATCAAGAACTAATAGATAACCACAAACGAATATACTGTATTTAGAATTCGAAATCAAGCATTCATCAAGTACAAAGGTATCATTAGTTCATCCAAACACCACAACCATACTTCCTTAAGTTTTTCGATTCATTTTTTCCTTAGACCATCAAAAGTCATTTTTTTCTATGTTATCATTAAGTGACTGTAATGCTTAGAAGTATTTGAATTATTATGTGAACTAGGACTCGCCGAAATAACTCAATAAAGGCCCAAATGGAATTAAATGAGCACAAACGAACATATTGTATTTAGAATTCGAAATCAGGAAGCCATCAAGTACAAAGGAAACATTAGTTTATACAAGCATCACAGTGACAAGTACTAGTAAACACGTGTATTTCAGGCTTCAGTTTTGCGTGTATTTTGAATGCTTACTTTTTCTTCTCATTACTGACGAGTGAGATTGTAATACTTCAAGGTCGCGATGCACCAACGGTACATCTTCAAGGACGTGTCCAGTAGAACATGCTCGACAACAGATTCCACTAGCAGAAGGTCGTAAGAATGAGGCTTTGCTGGCTCTAGGTCCTCTAAATCCCATATAGTTAGATTTGTAGAAAATTAGACACTCATAAAACAAGTTGCTGTCGATCCTTTAGTGTGAATAATGGGAACTTACACCTCACGTGTTTTCAGGGATAGGACACTCATCAAAGAATTTTCTGCGCATCAGTTTGTCGGTACTTAATGTATATGTAACGGAATTAAGGATTACTGTGAGGGGGGAAATAGCAGGTGTAAGGGCATAATACGCTATAGACTCAGCTAGTTTTTTGCGTACACGCAAAGTCGTCTGACCTCCTCCCATATCAATCTGCTGACATGACGGTGTTTAAATACCTAGCTGATTAGCTAGGTTTATAGGGATTTCTTCGGCTGAGTAGTAGATATAACTAGAAATTGCAGTAAAGTTTGTCTGCCAACTCTGACAGAAAAGCCTACCATAACTGCCTCTTGATTCTGCTCACTAAAGCTCGAGAGAGATTACTTAATTTCGATAACCTAGGCTACTTTTCGTTTTTGCACGTTTTCCTGTGACTAACTGAAAACGATCTCAACTCTCGAAGCCAATCATTAAACACTTAGCATTAGTCTAAAAAACTGATTCCATATCAGCTGGACTTAAGCCATGATCAAGAAAACGAAAGCTCAGTAATTGCCCAGAGACAAATGTGTCAACCTATTTATCCAGAGGAATATATCTCCATACGGCCGAACTACCGATTTTCTCACAATGCAACTGTAACTGAGTAGAATGATACCTGTGTGTGTAAAACATATGACTAGCGCGGAAGAACTTAATAAGTAATTACCCCATCCAATACATAAGACCACATATTTGCCGCAAATATGCTAGGTTTGTAGTACTACCTCATATCCCACGTTACAATGTGCTCACAAGATCCAGTCCCGAAGTTATTCCTAATTGATAGAAGCAGATCAACCATTGTATGCCACAAAATATCTTGGTAACCAGTAGACGGTCCGAGTGTCTTTCGTCAGCCAAATTCGGATTCCGTAGAGAACCCAACTGACATAGAACAACAAACTCGGTTACAGGAAACACCCAGATCCGAATCATCTCGAGAAAGCGCGATCCAGTCATCTTGGGCTGTATTCCAAAGGTTATGACTGAAAGTCCCAGATTATTAGCCTTATTTCACTTGGTTACTTATAAACAGTTAACGAAACAAAAAAATGCTTTGCTAGCAACTAGAAAATAATTCGTTGAAAAAACATCGCTAGAGAAAACTCAACAAAGAGTAAACATTGACTTTTTTGCAATGTTAATTATCCAGGCAATCGGAAACTAAAATCTAAGTACTTCATATGGCCATGAAAAATCATGGGTGAAGGCAGAAAGCGAATAAGAAATCGTAGAATCCTAACAAGGGATGCAAGTCATATGTGTACTTCAGCATATGTTACACATATGAATGTTTGCAAGTAATATTCAATTTACAATCAAAAATTGAAGACAGCTTTCCTGGTCTAATGTTGACCAGGGTGACAGATTCACCATAGTATTTGACAAGGACAATAGTTATACAAATGTATTTGTGTCAACATGCTTAAAACTGTTGTGCAAACATGTAGACAAATAAATAAAAGCAGAAACAGAACTGTACATGGCAAAACAAAATAGATGGGAACATTTCTATCAATTTAACTGTATCAGTTTGTACGCTGCTATGGTTATTCGAGAAAATAATGGTAATCTTAATAATAGGAACTTTACTAAAAGTGACAATAATCCACTCAACTAATTAATAAATGAAATATGACTTGGGAAGGAAGAATACATAAACAATACAACATAGAAAACGAAGTTGCAAAGGATGACAAGACTCAGGAATGCAAATAGTATATAATTGCTGATTAGGGTTACAAAAAATGAGAGTTCTATAAACACATAATGATGACCTGGTTTGGTTAAGTCTTCATCGTTTATATTTTATTGATATTACTGAGAGTGCATATACATAAGCAAAACTACTGAGGTACGCATGAACGAGGGAAAATAGAAAAATTGATATCAACGAGATCATAGTGATTCAAAAATAGGAACTATACACATGGAAACGAAGACTGTGATAGTCTATGTGCGTGTGGATGGATGAACATACATTTACGCAAACACTAACAAGTGTCAGATTGCTCCCAAAATCCTTTATCATAACCTTCATGTACGTGGTCTAAAAGGACATTTCGGCGACTTTCACAATATCTGGCTTTATCTTGCATTTTCTGTTTTAATTCATTTAAATTGATATTAGATAAATCACGATCTAGATATTCCGATAACTGTTCTGTAGATTGTTCTAAATCACTTTGATTACTTTCAAATATTAATGAATGATTGTTTTTTTAAGGAAATAAGCAAAAGCATAAGTATACATGAGTGTTCTTCGACAGCGACAAAGAATTTCAACTAATTTTTTGAAAAATTTAACATCTATCCAAGACGTTCCATGAGCTTGCATTGATTCCATTTTACTTTGCACTGTTTCATATAGGCGTGCCTCAAACCTCAACGACTGCATATGATTTAAATAACGATTTGAATAAAAAAGATAGCGATCAAGTGATAACCTTGAACTAGCTTGAGCTTCTCTAGCCAATTTAGCAGCGGAGTCGTCATAACGATTGCATGTGTACCATCGTGATCCATGGGGCTCCCATCGATCTAGACACATCCAACAAAATTCATGCTTACAATCAACATTCCGACAGGTCATGTGATTACAACCACCATTTTTTTCTATAGTTGCACGACATTTTGGACACTCTTTAGTGTTAGCTGCAATCCAGCCAAGCGTACCGCTATCATTTTCAAGCTTTTTAATCCATGTTCTTAACTGTTCACAGCGAACTGGATCATGCCATGGTTGACCACAGGCAAAACAAAAGCATTCACCACAGTTAGTACAAGTGATTTGATATGGTTCTCGGGGACCAAAGCAACGCACGGCATGTCCACAGTTAACACCTGGACACCAAGTTAATGCACGATTATGGAGAACAAAACTACTAGATATCAGCTTGTGAAAATGCTTGCGTACATTTTGATCAGTAATCATTTGAAACACAACCTCATCTTCAACAATTATACGACAATTGGATGAAGGACAATAAATTCGGTCAATTTGACTTTCTTCCATTATTTTAATTTTAAGATAACGCTGCCAACAAGTTAAACAAAAGTAGTGAGCGCAAGACAATCCAAACATTTGACCTAAATATAGGAAAGCAACGAGAGATTAAATCGAACAAATTTTGGGACGCTTTCTGACTACTGGAAGTTATGGGGTCGAGTGACTTGAGAAAACTTACGAAGATTTCAAAACTAATGAATTTTAATAGTCGCACTATGTTTTAATGATGGATAACATTTATTGATAGATTTGAGCAGTTTATTTAAGTTAAACTTTACATTGATTTTTCTGAGTCATTTACTTAAGTATGATCTTTGTCTTATCCAAGAGCATTTGTCAATTTAGCGAAGTAATATTACAGACCAACTACATTCTCTATTCTGCAAACTGTAACAGATTTGAAATATTTGACCTCTGATTATTTCACTTAATATCATACACAAAGCCATACCTAGCTTTCTAAACATTTAAGTTTAAATGTTGAATTGTACTGCAAATTCAATAATGATGAGAAATAAAAATTACAAACCCTCATGGAAGTCTATGAAATTGATTGTGCAGTCAGTAGCACATACAGTATTGCTTCGGGTAGTACAGAAGACCAATTTGTGACTATCCTCTTATGGTTTTAAATAAAAAACACGAATATTTTTATTTGGATAGCTTGGTATAGTTATTCCTAGGTTCATGCTATTTTCATATGACCAAATAACTCACAAGTAGCAATCAGTTTATAACTAATTTATTGGTTACAAGGAGGCTTGCAATATTTTTATTGATCAGTACAATATTCGTTGAACATAAGGCCGTGAATATTACAAGCCATAACAATCCACTGGGACTATTTGATCTTTGATATATTTATTCATATGAAAATTACAGTGGTTAGGCAGATAATCTGTTTTGAAATCCAGCTTAAGAAATCTTTACACAATTTACCGCGTTTGATACATCATTTTTATTCATAGGAATAATCTTCATTGACCACAAGTATTCATGAAGACAAGAGAATCAAGTAATAAAATGGAATGAAAAAACCACAGTACGAGTTGATGAACAAAAGCCTTTAGCCACATGAGTTACCTACACCGTAAGAACCCGTACAGGAAATCATACAATGTCCAGAATAAATAAATCTGGACAAAATCACTTACACATTTAAGTAAAATCAACTAAATGAATACGTCTTTAGTGCCATAAATTGTCGTGTAAGGAATAATCAATAAACAGCTGATTATTTTTTCAAAGTAAATTAGTGAAAGTCTATTGATGATCATAAAATCATATGATGTATATAACAATAGTTAGAATAATGTAATTGGTGGACAGAAAGTGAACATTTAGGAAAATATGATTTTTCTTTTACAGCATAAATATTGTTACATTTTCACTAGAGAGAAGAATAACAAGGGTCAAATGATAAGTTTATCATGTGCAAACACTTTAACTAATAAAATCGACGAATCGATTATATAACAATTAGTAGTTTACACTTTCTATTCTAACATCAGTACTATTCTATGCTTAACGGTAAACAGATATCTATTCACATTGCAATTTGTACTGTAAGTCATTTTTCTTGAAAAGTCGATATATTACTTGAAATATAATACACCCATCATAATAACACATAGAATGTTGATTACTTATTAACAGAAAAAGGTACACTATTAAATAGCTAGCCGTGTAATCTAGGATAGGCGTTTCGACTTATTTTGAACACTTCAGATGAATGTGCCTGCATCCTAGAGTTGACGTTCACTGACGGACTCAAATCCAAAATATAAAAGAGATAGTCAAATCCATTTCAGCTCGAGTTGCACGGAGATGCAGTTGTCGATCCAAATCCCATAGTGGTAGAGGTAGTAAAAGTATAAACAGTAATCGGTAAGACTAGGCTTTGAAAATGTTATTCAAGGAGTATAATCCAGTGAAATAAATTTGGAAAGAGAAAAAAAGGGACATGAAGAATTCAGAAGACCAGAATCTAGGAAAACACAAAGAGTGGATGCACCTGCGCAAACGATTTTCAGCCATTTCATTCAAAATCTATAACCATCGGTTGCTATCGTCTCGCGGATCCCAACCAGGTAGTCTACACCTAACAACATGGCTCAGTCCACTTGTCAGTGACTTCATGGATTTTTGCCATGTTTTGGTCTGGCCGTCCCTAGCTTTCTCCATACCTACTCCTACACCAAAAAACATCGCACGTCGAGGCAGTCGGTGGTTGGGCATACGTAGCACGTCTCTCAGCCATCTCAACTGATGAAGTTTCAATACTTCATCCATTGATTTGCCTCTCTTACCTAGTACCCGTTTTCTAATAGCTGCATTACTTACTCGGTGGTCCCAGGATACACGAGCAATATTTCGAAGACACCTATGATCGAATGCCGGTAACCTGCGAATATACTCTACTCTTACCGGCAATGTTTCACTGCCATAAATGACGCAAGTTTGCAAAAGCTAGTCGAGCCTTCTGTATCCGTGCTGAGATTTTGTCACACACCAGACCACAAGGGCTGCTGAAACTCCCATGATAAGTGAAGTGGTCGACACGCTCAACTACTTCACTCCCTAACATTAGTACGGGTGTCGATGCAACCCAATCCTGAAGCAACATTTTGCATTTCGAAGGGGAGAATCGCATCCCGAACATGCTTGCATTGTTGCTTATAGTGTTCAGAAGACTCTGCATTTGTCAGCGTTTTCACCAAATAGCACTATATCATCGGCATATTCTAAGTCACCAAGTGGATCTCCCGGGAAAAGTTCAACTCTGGGATGCAGGTACATCGATCTGACGTGTCCCAAACCGGAAGCGCGCGTTCTGGGTACCACTGTTGGACACATTCCATTTATTCTACACAAACTTGAGTTTTATTTATTTATTTGAAGACATAAATTTTGGTACAAGAGGGCACCAAATATATATGCACCACACAAAACAATGAGAATTCGATGAGAAAAAAAGGACAATAACCACCAGATTAGTGTCAGGTAGTGTAATAATAATAATAATAATAGGGGAAACAGAGAGGTAAAACCAGAAGAAATCTTTCAGTAAAGGAAGATACAACCACTTTTTATGAAGAAAGTAAAAGAAGGTTACAGCAGGATTGCCACTGGCTTCTATTCTGAACCATATCTGATAACGTCTCTATAGTCACTGTGTTGCACCATCTCTCAAACCCCAGCCAGGGAGTCGTGAAGAACCAACACAAGCCAGTCCTTTGCAGCTTTCTTCCATACACCGACACTATGTCATACACTGACCAACTCTCCGCTTCTTCCAACCAGTCCCAGAGTCGGCAAATAATGCACGACGTGGAATTCTCTGGGACGACATTCGTAGAACATGTCCAAGCCACCGAAGTCGGTGTTTCAAGATGGTGACACCAATTGAATTATCATCTCTGTGCCCGAACACACGATGCCGAACCTCTGCATTACTGACGTGGTGTTGCCACTGGATGTCAGCAATCCTTCAGAGACAGCGATGATCGAACACAGAGAGTCGTCTAACGTCCTCAACTCGGAGAGGCCAGGTTTCACAAGCATAGAGCAAAACTGCTCTCACCGACGCGTTGTAGATCCGACCTTTTACAGCCAGACTAACATCACGAAGGCGCCAAAGATGGCCCAGATTGGCATAAGCCGCTCTGGCTTTCACCATACGTGCATTGATCTCATCACTCACACCCCCACCAACAGTTATGCAGCTACCTAGATACACGAACTTCTCGACTACTTCTATCTGCTCACCATCCAGGGTGAGTGGAGGATTAGAATCCTGTCAGTCTTGTAGAAGTAATTTGCACTTCGAAGGTGCAAAGCTCATACCGTACCTACGGACACTGATCGCCAATTGATTAAGTGCGGATTGCATGGCTTGGGCATTATCGCACAGTAAGACAATATCATCCACATACTCAAGGTCGAAAAGTCTTTCTCCAGGCAACAGATCTACACCACCATTACTTATATCCATCAGAGCTGTTTCCAGAATGCCATCGATGGCAAAATTGAAGAGGAATGGTGAGATTGGACAACCCTGTCTAACCCCACTGCTCGAATGACACAATGGAGAAAGGTGGTTGTATATAGGGCCTTTAGGATGTTAATAAACTTCTAAGGCACACCCTTCTTCAATAGACAATCCCAGAGAACAGTTCTGTCCAACGAATCGAAGGCAGCCCTGATGTCAAGAAACACTACGATTGTTGGCCTTTGATAAGTATGGCGGTGTTCTAACATTTGGCGGAGGGTGAAGATATGATCAATACATCCTCGACCGGAACGAAAACCAGCCTGCTCCTCGCGAGCCAATCTTTCTCGAGTTTTAAACAACCTACTAAGTATGACGGAAGCCAATAGCTTGGACGCAATCGGAAGTAGACTTGTCCCCCGATAGTTGTTACAGGAACGACGTGAACCCTTTTTAAAGATAGGGACAACTATCGACTCATTCCATGACGTTGGTACACTCTCTAGCTCCCAGACCTTTGTAAACAACGTCGTCAGTTACTTAGTCAGAAAGTCACCACCATCTTTAAAAAAGAGGAAGGTAAGTCATCTGGGCTAGGTGATTTGTAGCGCTTCAAGAGTTGGAGTTCCTTGCAGACTTCCGCCTCAATTGGTGGATCAGTCGTCACTGGCCATGGAGGGCAGGACAGTCTGACAGATGTTGCCGGAGCAGCAGGCCAGCTGAACTGCCCTTCGAAGAATTCACACAAACTTGAGTTAGGAGATACGTCCAAGCAATCCGCATAGGAGGCATATATGGTGATGAAAACAGCCAAAATATTAACAACGGAATAATCCAAACCATTTTGAATTGAATTACACTACAACATAGCTTGTATTGGTCATTTTCCACTTTATTTTTAATATGAATGACTTCTAAACGAAATATATATAGTCCTTCTCTAGTGCTGATCGAATTTGATTGATTGAGTATCATGTCAGTTATTTTTTCAAACACGAGAAAAAGCTTAGGAAATCTTAATTATAAACAACTCTAAAACAATTATCATCTGATATGACGCTATCGTGAACCAATGAATTAATTTGATAGAAAACAATGATTTGTCAGTTTTAAGCTTAGTGAACAGTAAATATTATTGACTAGAATACATTTTTTAAGTATCAAAACCTGTAAGGTGTGTAATTGGAATGATAGTTTTGATTAATTTAAGGTGATTAAAGAGAATTTCATCTATCCACCGGATTTTGGTAATAAAAATAGCTAGAGATTGTTAAGTTATATGTATATTAAAAGTCGTGATATAAAATGTAGTTTAAATGTAAGATATCTGTGATTGGATATGTCCCACCCTTAGGTGAAACAAGAGCATCTACATAGTTTATAGATATAAGTGAAACTTAGTCCATACTAGCAAGAAACACGGGTCTAGAATCTTCTGACAACTGGCTTGAAATATTTGATGTAGGGTAATGTGATGGCGAATATATATATATATATATATATATATATATATATGACCAAACAAAATTGCACGACATATTACAGCTCTCTTCACAAGTTATCAGACATGTAAAATTCCAGATGAACAAAAAGATAAATGTTTATATCGACGGTTAGCACATGAGCTCTCAATATTTCACATTGATAATGAAAAATCTTACTTGGAGTAGTTGGTAGGAAACATATATCACAAACGATTTCGTTTTTCTTTTCACACAAATTCCTTGATCCTGTCACTAAAAATAGAATTTATAAAGATTACATATGCCACAAATCCTAATAAAAGGTTGTTTTAATGATTTTAAGTGATAATATAGTTAGGAACATTTTTATTATCATTTATTGTTCGTTTATTAAATATGGACTACATAATTAGCACCAAACGGACAGTTACACAAGCAGTAACAATATAGAGCTTGGCCTGGTACAGATATGCGTTGACCCAAGTTGCCACAAAACATTAGCAATGATAAAAAGGACTAAACCTTGGAAATATGGTTTGAACAAACATTGGAAAAGTATGTGTGAAGGAAAACCAGGATTCACTATCAAGAAGATGAAGAGAGAATGCGTCTACATTACTATGAACGTTTCTGGGACATGCCACTCAAAATCCCAACACAACTAATCGCCGTTATTAAGCAGAGCACAGTCAAGTAGTCCGAATCTACCATGATTCAGATGAACAGTCTGCGACTTCATGAGCTAACGCAGTGTCATAGGTTTGGCTGCCTTTACCTTCCTATCAACCTAATACGCCAGCAAGCGTTGCCAGTAAGGGTAGGTTGTGGTTAGGGATATGTGACACACGTAATAACCACCTCAGTCGATGAAAATATAAAATTTTATCAACTTGGTTTCCTACCTACATTAGCCTAGTGCTTTACGCTTAGCCTTAGTAGTTATGGCAACTCGAAATGATGTACGTACGTACGAAGTTTTACGTTGTTGACTGACTGAACCTTAGCAGTGCTTACTTGGTCATTACACAAATCCTATACTAGTAACTCTTACACTGCCCGTTATTTTCCAGTGCTAAAACTAGATGGAAAAAGCGAAGAGGTGGTCAGCTTATCACATGTTGCAGTGATGTGATAGTTAGATATATAAGACTGGGACTTGTCAATCGATTATGACTGCCTGATTTGGGCCAGACGGTAGTGCGATTCAGTTGGTTGATACATTACCAGATATGGTTTACAATGCTACCATATGGCCAGTGGTGATGCTGCCAGTGTACTATTCGAGTCTTTACACAAGTGAAATGGAGTTTCACAAATGATCTTTCTTGGTTATGTTTTTTAATCGAACTTGATCTCTTATTACATACTATTAGCATTCATTTATTTATTGGTCATACTGCCCTTTCTGTCTTTATTTCTTCACAATCATATAACCTTATTTGTGTGGGGTATTTTTTCAGTAGTCTATCGTATCAAAATTTATAGGCGTCAGATAGAATAGTTTTGTTTAGTAAGAAGTATTTAGATGCACAAGACGTATAATTTACCTTCCTTACACTGACTCTTTTGCCACGAAAGCATGGATGCCGTTATTGATTACATTCTGAAACACGATGAAGTGGTATCAAGAACATGTTTATTTATTTATTTATTTGGACACATGAATATTGGTACAAGAGAGCGCCAATATATATGCGCCACACAAAACAATGAAAATTCGAGAGGAATACAAAGAAAGAAAAAAAAGCTAAGGAGCGCAACAAAAAAAGAGAGAACAATAACGAAGAGATTGGTGTAAGGTAATGTGCTAGTAATCAGGGAACGCAAAGGTACAATCGGAAGAAATCTTTCAGGTAAGGGAGACACAACCACTTTTTATGAAGAAAGTAAAAGAAGGTTACAGCAGGATCGCCACTGGCTTCTATTCTGAGCCATATCTGATAACGTCTCTAGCCACTGTGTAGCACCATCTCTCGGACCCCAACCAGGGAGTCGTGAAGGACCAACACAAGCCAGTCCTTTGCAGCTTTCTTTCATGCCACGACACCATGTCATGCACTGACCACCTCTCCGCTTCTTCCAACCAGTCCCAGAGTCGGCAAATAATGCACGACGTGGAATTCTCTGGGACGACATTCGGAGAACATGTCCAAGCCACCGAAGTCGGTGTTTCAAGATGGTGACACCAATTGAATTATCATCTCTGTGCCCGAACACACGATGCCGAACCTCTGCATTACTGACATGGTGTTGCCACTGAATGTCAGCAATCCTTCGGAGACAGCGATGATCGAACACAGAGAGTCGTCTAACGTCCTCAACTCGGAGAGGCCAGGTTTCACAAGCATAGAGCAAAACTGCTCTCACCGACGCGTTGTAGATCCGACCTTTTACAGCCAGACTAACATCACGAAGGCGCCAAAGGTGGCCCAGATTGGCATAAGCCGCTCTGGCTTTCACTATACGTGCATTGATCTCATCACTCACACCCCCACCAGCACTTATGCAGCTACCCAGATACACGAACTTCTCGACTACGTCTATCTGCTCACCATCCAGGGTGAGTACAGGATTAGAATCCTGCCAGTCTTGTAGAAGTACTTTGCACTTCGAAGGTGCAAAGCACATACCATACCTACGGACACTGATTGCCAACTGATTAAGTGCGGATTGCATGCCTTGGGCATTATCGCACAGTAAGACAATATCGTCCGCATACTCAAGGTCGAGAAGTCTTTCTCCAGGCAACAGATCCACACCACCATTACTTACATTCATCAGAGCTGTTTCCAGAATGTCATCGATGGCAAAGTTGAAGAGGAATGGTGAGATTGGGCAACCCTGCCTAACCCCACTGCTCGAATGGAACAATGGAGAGAGGTGGTTGTATGCCCTCACTCTGCCTGAGGTGTTTTTATATAGGGCTTTTAGGATGTTAATAAACTTCTCAGGCACACCCTTCTTCAATAGACAATCCCAGAGAACAGTCCTGTCCAACGAATCGAAGGCAGCCCTGATGTCAAGAAACACTACGATTGTTGGCCTTTGATAAGTATGGCGGTGTTCTAACATTTGGCGGAGGGTGAAGATATGATCAATACATCCTCGACCAGAACGAAACCCAGCCTGCTCCTCGCGAGTCAATCTTTCTCGGGTTTTGAACAACCTACGAAGTATGACGGAAGCCAATAGCTTGGACGCAATCGGAAGTAGACTTATCCCCCGATAGTTGTTACAGGAACGACGTGAACCCTTTTTAAAGATAGGGACAACTATCGACTCATTCCATGACGTTGGTACACTCTCTAGTTCCCAAACCTTTGTAAACAACGTCGTCAATTCCTTAGTCAAAAAGTCACCACCATCTTTAAAAAGAGCCGGAGGTAAGTCATCTGGGCCAGGTGATTTGTAACGCTTCAAGAGTTGGAGTTCCTTGCGGACTTCCTCCTCATTTGGTGGATCAGTCGTCACCGGCCATGGAGGGCAGGACAGTCTGACCGATGTTGCCGGAGCAGCAGGCCAGTTGAACTGCCCTTCGAAAAATTCTGCCCATCGTCCAAGACGTCGATGGATGTTAGTGATTGGCATCCCATCATCCTCGCAGATTGTTTCACTCACACCAGACTTCTTGCTGCCAGTGGCTCGGATGAGCTGGAAGAGCTTCCGGTAGTTACCAGATGCAGCTGCTGCTTCCAGCTCATTAGCACGCTTCGACCACCAGGCTTCTCGGTCCTTACGCAAGCTTTGCCCAATTTCCTTACGTAACATCCTTCGTTTATGGTCAAACTCACGGTCACCCGGAGTAGACCGACGGGCTTCAATGAGTTGTAAGGAACCAGAAGAAACCCAGTGCTTAAAAGCGGGACGTTTCGCAAACCCACAACTGACTGTTCCCGCCATTTTCATGGCGTCATGCAATTGCAACCAATGCTCATCTATACTTTTCGGTGGAGTGGTAGCTAGCCTAGAGGCTAGCTCGGTTCGATACTTACTTGCAACAGAAGTTGCAACCAGCTTGCTAACATCAATCCGTTGGTGGTGGTCACTTCGTTGTCCACTGAAAAGTAAGGCAAGATTGGCGCAGACCAAGGCATGGTCAGAGTCCAGATAGGTACTCCAAAAGGAGCGGCAGTCTTTTACACAACCACGCCAGCGGTAGCTGATCGCGATGTGATCAATCTGAGTCCAGGCTTGAGATGCAGAGGGAGGACGCCAGGTGGCACATCGGCGATGACTGTGCCGAAAGTTAGTGCTAGCCAGAAACAGGTTGTGGTCTGTGCACAGTTGCAGTAGACGGTCCCCGTTATCTGACCTGCGACCAACAAGTCCCCATCGGCCACCTAAACGACTCTCTTCTGTGCCTAGACGCCCGACCTGAGCATTCAAGTCTCCGGCTAGTACTACAATATCTGTCGAACGCACTTTCTGGAGAAGAACAGATAACTGGTGGTAAAACTCATCCTTGATTGCATCCGGGCTGCAATCTGTCGGGGCATAGGCGGAGATGACGAAAAGACATCGTTTCTCACGCCGATTTCTTCTCACTTTGATGGAACTTTCTAATCTAACAGCACATAACCGACTGTTAATGGGGATCCAATCGACTAGTGCTGCCTCAGCTCTAGCGCTTAGTGCGACACCAACGCCAGCAAGACCAGACGAAGATGCCACAGGGTCCCCGGATAAGCGCACGTAAAACAAGCTTTTCGAAGTGACAGATGGAGAGCGAATTTGTAGTACTTCGCTAGAGTCTTGAATACGGGTCTCGGATAGACAACAAACATCAATATTAAGACTTTCCAAGAACGTATTCTTAAAAAACTGCAAACCATAATTTTATTCACCAACTTATTGATTAAAGCATTTCAACTTATTCCAGAAAATATCTAGAAAATGGTTGCTACCAAAATATTGGCAGTCTACAATATTTGAGATATACCGACAGGAAATTCGAAACGGAACCAACTATTTAAACACTTATCATCTAGTACAGTTCAGAAAAACGACAGCTTTAAAGTGAAGGATTTTGGTTGACAGAATTGGTTATATTTCTGCTGTACTGAACCTCTGATGGATTGTGGATCAATGACCGGAATTAGTGCGAGTTAAGTACATCTAGCAGATAAGTTTTAAATAAGATGTAACACTTGTCTTGCATCTTACTGATAGTCCTAATCAAATACTATTATAATAGACAGAACAAAACTACAATGAAGTCACTAAAGTACAGAATACCTGTTTTATTTTAGATATTAGAGCAGCATATAGTTTTTAAAATCAATAAAAATAATGACTAGATGACCCCTTAAAACATAAATCAAATGCATGTGTAAGGACATCAGGGTTTGAACATGTCAAACTGTGATTGGAGGTCACGTACTTTAATCACTTAGCCACCGGACTACAGCGTTTTTAACGTAATGACGATAGGGTATATGAGAATGTCAGATCAAAACTGAGTAATTACATCTTACCTGGGATATCCATAGGGTCTAAAATACCTGTTTGAGCAAATGTATCTGTTTTTCCATGTTCAAAATAAAATTCCATCAATGCATCTTTATCCCATTTAAAATGAGCAAGTAATAGTCGTAAATAAGTCGGAGGAATCTGAATTATTTGTTCAACTTCTTTGGTAATATCAGACATCAATTGTGATAATTGGTTGGGGTGTAATATCTAGTTGGATAGGATTAGTAAAATGACAGTAAACTCTCTAGTAATATTTGCAATGAATGAAATAGCTTAAGGTATGTATAATTCATTTTTTTAAGAGGAAGGACATCCACGAAATTGGCACCAATGAAGTGTATCAAGCTGAAAAACATTTACCACTTTATTTGAGGAATACTGATTGTCAAAATAACTTGGTTCATGGGAACAAAGTACATATACAACTTTTGGTCTCTAATGTACAGTTACGTACAAGTTTATTGATCACTATTCACGAGATAACCGTAATCTGTGGCTAAATACCGTAGTTTTCCAAAATCAGTCTTAGGAAAACATGTACAATGACCCATTATCTTCCTCTGAATCTTGGGCTTGGCATTATTCCATACCTTTTATTTTCCAAATTAATTTGCTGTTCATAGACTACATTTTTTGGTTTTGTCTCTCACTACTGTTGAATATGATGTTTTCAATTGTCTGCTTTCTTATTTGTCGATTCAATATCACTGTGTTGATGTGAAGCGTATTAATTTAGAACGATACATGTGTACCAACTACGGTTACTATCAAGAATAAGATGACCTCATTATGTAATTTGTTTCATTTTATTTCAATTTGTACCAGCATTTTGTGTTTAAACAAATATAATACTAAACTTTTAGTGGAAGCAATCAAGTTTTTTACATTTACCTCGTATTCTAGGGAATCCTCTTCACGCGACTCAGTAGTGGTATATGGAACATCTAACAAATTCACAAGTTCATCGTTTTCACCTGAATGTACTGAATCATCTAATGATATATCAGAATCATTGAGTTCTTCATCCATCAGCTAGGTAAATAAAAGAAAATGAAGTTCAAATACTACATAGTCACGTTACAATTACATTTCGATATTTAGTGTTTATCACAAACGAAATGAGACCTTATTATTTGATTGTAAGAAATAAAAAACTACTACTTTTATAGTCCTGAAGTTATGGATTTGTCCCAGTTTTTGGACCTCAAGTACGTATTTAAAGGGGGAACTAGCTTGGTCATTACAAATTCGCGGTGAAAATTCCCGTTTCTTAATAAATTGGTATTACGAGTATCATGCAGCGAAATATAGGTAAAGTATTAAAATATTTGTCTGAACTAACTGTTGTACGAAAACTCTGTGAGGTCGGTTATTGGCAAGATGGTAAGAAATAATTGGTGCAAGAAATATGCTACAGGAATTAGTAAAACCAAAAACAAATAGTGAAACTAAAAGATGGAACGATGATGACTGATTAAACGCTGATAAATGTTTTCCTTCTTTAGAAACAACACACTGATTATAGGACGATTATTGAACAATATTGGCCAGATAGGATATCAACATGTGACTGGGACGCTAGAGACATAATATTGAGTTGATGTACAGATATTTTTAATTGTCTAGCAACAACGTGAGGAACTCTGAAATGTAGTTCTTAGTCTTTAGTATAATAAAAGCTGCAACTAACGCGACTGAACATTAACATAATAGAACTCTGGTAAGTATTACTCAAAGAAGAATCATGGATTAGACTCAGTTGAGTTTATTATCGACTACACGGTTAAAACAAAGAATATGGATCATAAATTCAGAAACTAACATGACAAATTTACTGACAAGCGGTCTACAGATTTTATTATATACTACAGTTTAGGACTACAAGTTAGACTTATAAAGGCGATGCCCGAAGCATGGAAGCACAATAATAATTTACTGACTAGTAGGATCAATGATTGTAAAAGTACATACAAAACAAATTTGTAGTATGATAATGATATAGAAACTGATGTGACCAATCTGACTTCGGTTTGAATAACTTAATGTTTATTAGCATTCCAGTAAAATTGAGTAGATCATAAACGGCATAGAAGCATGAATAGTAGCCGAAATGGATTGTCAAGCATGAAGAAATTGTGGTGACGGGGCTTTGGAAAACAAACTTTTACTGCAGAAGAATCTCTCACTGGTAAGAGTTAAGCTCACTTAAGAGTGGCATTTAGATACCAAAAAAGGACATATGTCCTTGTTTTGGGTCAATGTGTGAGGGTTAGTAGTGCTGATTGTGTGTTGGTAGTGAAGCAGAGACGAAGGTTTGAACAAGAGGTCTACGAATGAAAAATCTAAAAGTGTACCCACCAAGCTAGTTTATCAACGAAATGACAGAAAAATTGATGTGGAACATAGGTTCTAACTTTAACTCACTTCAACAATCAATATCTGAAATTAAATGCAAAAACAATGACCAACAACAAAGACCCCTAGTATCCACACATAAAGGTGAATTTCCTCCCCATCTTAGGAAACAAAAAGATTAAGGTAGTTTTGGGGTTCACATTGTCCACCTTTGATTGTTGAGGAAAATTTGATGAGGAACGACAACTTAACAGCCTAGAAATGTTGTAAATAAAAGCACGGTCACATTATTTTAAAGTTGAGTTCTACGATAAATATGGATTTACTATGATCCGAAATGCAACATTTTCCCTTTAAATATATTAGTTGCCAATGCAACTAACTTTCTGAGGTTGAAACTCAGAAAACACTAATATCGCGAGAAACATGAAAGTTAGGTAAATGCATCCAACAGTTCTGCGACAAGTTACAAGACTGTATGATCAAAGCCAGGCTTGGATTTGCACACGCTACCGAATGGTCGATTTTGGTGACTTGAAAACTGATTTGGTTCTGAAGAAGCTAGATAATTTCCGCTTATCAGGATGTATCCGGGTTCCAGCCTACTCAAGCAGATGTATCAACGTTCATAGCCCTTCGGAAGTCACCGTCATCAGCTTTAGGCTATATTTCACGCTGGTACAAACATAAACAATACAGATCCAGAAATATTAGAGCTTTTTAGTGAACATATTTACGCGTGGACCAATGTGATCGGGACCTGTTACTTTCAGAGCTCTCTAGTGTGAGGGAAATTTTATCCGTTTTGGGGAAGCCGCTATAGAAAATTTTGGCGAAATAGCACAAAACCCCAAAATTTCCCTGAAAATTTTGGGATTTCCCCAAAATAGGGAGACTGTGTTAACTAGCAGCTTTATGTTCAGACCAGTTAACCTTGTATCTGGTGGACAGAAGATAAAATAACATAATGGGAGCTAAAGTTCTACTTACGCGAATTGTAGATAGACTTAGAAAATTTACTACTTCAACATTATGAGTAAGATTACTGTGTAAAAGTTCACTAAAAATAAACAGAAAACTAAAGCAAAAAGTTTTACAGGATATGGACTACGAAAATTATGTGAATACAGTCTTTTAGAAAATCCCTAAACAATTTCTGGAATCTTATTACAAATAACAGACGGTGGATTAAATTTACCGGGATGGCTGCAACCCACAGATTTGAAAACCACTGGAAGAAACAAAGAAAATGCTCAGATTGTGCTTGTTTGAGTAATGAGATATGAACCATCTGCAATCACTTTCAGTAAGTAATACAAAACGAGTTTAGCCACTAGGAAATGCTTTATATTTAACATATTGTGTATCCATGGTAGTTTGTAACATTTGACGACAATTCAAAAGATTAAGCTGATGAAAGCCCACAATAAAATCCATGAATTGTGAAGATATTCCTAAGAAGACAACTGTGATCTTCTAACTTGTAGCAACCTTATTTAAGGCTCCTTTGAACATTTCATTGGACTTTTTTACAACCGTAATTTTTGAAGTTTTACTTGTCTGTTCATGGATTCATTAGGAACATTTTACACACTCCCTTTAGGTTTGGTACTCATGGGTTCGCCAGTTCGGTCTGAAATTAGAATGCGTATTAAATTCAACTTTCTATAATATCATTAAAGATATCTCAGATGTGTTCGACAACGCTGTTTTCCGTGGCTTGTTTATATCAAAATATCTCAAATCCAGTCAAACTGAAAACCGAGAGCAAAGAGGTCCAAAGAAATAGTGGGATGATGATCATTGCGTCGAGATTTTCGTTATCCTAGCTGACTAGTTACTGTGAAAGGTGTGCACCATAGGGTACTTCTAACAGCTTAGGTTGGTTGGTTAAGAGTTGACCTCAAACAACCAAGCATATGCCAAAACAGTATAGTTCAAGTATTCATTCACTTCCTTATTTTGTGTAGGCTTTATATTTCCTAAAGTCTTATATTGAATGTTGAGAGGCTTTGTTTGTCTGAACAAATAATCCCACGCTCCACTGACTGCGCGAAGATCTAAATAAAGACCTATTCACTACTTGTCTGGTTTCTTCTATCAATAACACGAAGGTTACCTAGAGGCACAAAATACTCATTTGTGATCTGATATGGATGCTTGATCAAGCATCCTAACATGGAGTGTGTTCAGTAAGTTTAATATAGTCAACATTAATGTTGATGATGTCACAGGTATTCAGTGTTTCACAACGCTTCTACCAGTAACACCTTCTAATATGTTTCGTTCCCACCAAGAGAAATCAAAAGACAGAGTCGAGGAGATCGGAAGAGTATATTTGGCGATGACCAATATACCGGGATTCTCTGATCTAATCTGGCTAGCGATTGTGGTTGATGTTGAGCACGGCGTTACTACACGTGATCTGGTGCGGATGCCTGACCGAGCGCCTTCAGCTAGATGAGTCCACTAAAACATATGGTCAGCATCCAATGTCGAAAACTTACAGAGCTATTTATTTTAGGGATTTATTTACCGCTACAGATCACTCCCCCCCTAGTGGGGCAGTGACGACCCTAAGACGTGGCCAGCCAGAAGTTTAAACCCAACGAGTTTGTCGTTGGTAAACACTCTTCTGATAGCTTACTAAATTTAGCAGCGTCTGGTCGTCTTTCCTTACTATATGGGACGGAGGTACAACATAGTAAAAAAAAGAAAATGTACAATGAAAATTTCGGATCCTCATAAACGTCATCGTTCTTTTCCAGCCGTCCTGGAAAAGAAAAAAGAAAATGTAAGTGCATGTCGAAATACACTCGTATATGCGTAAAAAAACAAGGTCGGCGGAAAAAAAATGGAAAATAAACTCATGAGCACGTAATAGCGTTAAAAAATTGTTTTTTTTGTTTTGTTTTTTTTAATAGAAATAAAAATATATAAGCATATTAAAATTGTTTTTTTTTTCAAAAAAAAAATAATATAAAATGTCGAGAAGTGCCTTACGTGCAATAGTCGTTTAAATGTTCTGGAAATCTCACCCTTCTTCCAGAACGCGTCGTTTTAAGTTTATTTTCGGATACTGTCGAAGTATCTTCGTGTGCGTTGGTTGTCGGATGAGGTATTATTAGTGTCTGAGTCGTGTCGTTCGATTGTACCGAAGGAAAATCGACGTGGATAGGATTTCCTTCTAAATACGCTGCTTTTAAGCGATCGATGCTGATGCTATCGTTGGTTCCGTTCTTATCGACTATATAGTACTTAGATTCACGTTGAAGAACTTTGAAGGGTCCTTCGTATGCTGATTCGAATGGTCGTCGATGCGAGTCTCGACGAATGAAAACGTGTGTACTATATGGTAAGTCAGGTTGAACGAAAACATCAGTTGATTGAGGTCGAGTGGAAGCAGGTTTAACTGAACGCATTGCGTTTGTAAGCCTGTTCGTGTAGGAGGTTAGATCCATGTTCATCGAAGAGCACGAAGGATCCACGAATTCTCCTGGAAGTCGAAGTGTCGTTCCATAAACGAGTTGAGCCGCAGTGTATCCAATGTCAGCTTTCACTGCATTGCGGATACCTAGTAAGACGAGTGGAAGAGCGTCGGTCCATTGTGAAACGTTTGCAGCTGATAGCGAAGCTTTCAGTTGTCGGTGAAAACGTTCTACCAACCCGTTTGCTTGGGGATGGTAGGCGGTCGTTCGGAAGCGAGTGATTCCTAAAAGTGTGGTCAGACGACGGAAAAGATCAGATTCAAACTGACGTCCGCGGTCTGTAGTGATGGTTGAAGGGCAACCGAAGTTTGCTACCCATCGTTCGACGAATGTGCGGGCCACTGTTTCAGCAGTGCTGTCCTTGATAGGTACTGCTTCTGGCCATCGAGTGAAACGGTCTACGCAGGTTAAGAGATAAGAGTATCCATTTGAATCTGGTAAAGGTCCTACCAAATCCAGATGAACATGGTCGAAACGAGCATCGGGAGTTTTAAACGAGCCTAAGGGACATTTATTGTGTCTGATAACCTTAGATTTTTGGCAGCTTACACAGGAGCGTGCCCACTCCCTCACGTCTTTATTCATGCCAGGCCAGCAAAATCGTTCTGCTATAAGCTTGATGGTTGCACGAACACCTGGATGAGAAAGTTTGTGCAATGTGTTGAAGACATTGCGTCGATAATGTTTCGGCACGATTGGGCGATCCCTACCTGTAGATGTGTCACAAAGTAAGGTTTCCTTACCTGTTCCCATCTGTTTGATGCGTAGTTTAAGTGTTGTGGACGATAACTCGTGCTGAAGATCACTGTCTTCTTTTTGAAGCTCGGCGAGTTTAAGAAGGTCGATTCCTTGGAAACTGTTCAAGGAAGTTATACGAGATAAAGCGTCTGCAACTACATTGTTTGCTCCAGAGATGTGTTGAATATCTGAAGTAAACTGCGAAATGTAGTCCAGTTGTCGAGACTCACGGGGAGAGTACTTGTCAGAAGGAGAGCTTAACGAGAAAGTGAGCGGTTTATGGTCCGTGAAAAGAGTGAATTCACGGCCTTCGATATAGTGTTGGAAATGCCGTACAGCACAATACATAGCTAGGAGTTCCCTACCGAATGTGCTGTACCTCGATTCGGTGTCTAGCAACCTTCTAGAGAAAAATGCCAAGGGTTGCCAGGAGTTGTTAACCCATTGTTGTAAGACTCCTCCGATTGCTGAGTCGGATGCGTCTACTGCGATGCTAATGGGTGCTCGGGTGTCCTGATGTGCGAGCATTGTTGCTTTAGCAATCAGTTCCTTGACTGTGGAGAATGCTTTTCGTGCGGTGTCGTCCAAATTAATGGATTTCGCATTTCCACGAAGTTGGTCGGTCAGAGGTTTCATAAGTGATGCGCATTTGGGTATGAAACGTCTATAGAAACTTACCAGGCCGTTGAACGTGCGTAATTGCTTGACGGTGGTCGGTTCTGGGTAATCCAGAATGGCCGCCACTTTGGTTCTAAGGGGTCGGATACCTTGAGCATCGATAGTGTGTCCCAGAAAGTCTAACGAGTCGGTTCCAAATTGGCATTTCTGAACGTTTACAGTTATGCCATGTTTTTGTAATCGTTCGAAAACAAGGTCCAGATGCTTGAGATGTGTTTCTCTGTCCGGACTTGCGATTAGACAGTCGTCAACATACGCGTGTACGAAGTTGAGACCTCGAAAAACGTCGTCTATGAATCTTTGGAATGTTTGAGCAGCATTCCTTAGACCGAAAGGCATTCGCAAAAATTCATAGAGTCCGAAGGGAGTTATGATAGCCGTTTTCGGTATGTCGTCAGTAGCCATAGGGATTTGGTTATACGCTTTAACCAAGTCGATTTTCGAAAAGACAGTTGTACCTTTCAAGGTAGCTGTCAAATCGTGAATGTGAGGCAACGGGTAACGATCGGGAATGGTTTTCGCGTTCAATCGCCGATAGTCACCAGTTGGACGCCAATCGTTGCTGTCCTTTTTAGGGACCATGTGCAACGGAGATGCATATGGGCTACTTGACGGTCGTATGATTCCTAAGTCCATCATGTGATCGAATTCGTTTTTCGCTAACCTTAGCTTTTCAGGAGCTAGTCGTCGTGCTTTAGAAAATACAGGTGGTCCTGTAGTCGTGATGTGATGTGTAACATTGCTGGTTACACACGGTAGTTTCGGTTGAGTTTGTTGTATCCCAGGGTACTTATCGAGTAGTGGTTGATAGAGTGGGTCTATCATATGTTTAACTGTGACTGGGGATACTCTACAACCAGTAAAAGAAGTTACGCAAACGGACAAATTAGTGTTTCCGTCTACTAGCCTCCGTTTGCGAGTGTCGATGATCAGATTGTGGTGTTGTAGAAGGTCCATACCAATGATTGGCATAGAAACATCTGCAACGACGAAAATCCAGTGGATGGGTTTGCGTAAACCCACGTTAAGGTAAACGTACCTTTTGCCATACGTAGCGATCGGTTTTCCGTTTGCCGCCTGTAAGTTTAGGGTCGATTCGTGAAGTCGGTCGTTAGGATTTGCTGGGAGAACGCTAACTTCTGCGCCAGTGTCGACGAGGTAGCGAACTCTCGTTGTCACATCTGTGACGAATAACAGACGGCTTTGTTCGCCGGCTACGGTTGCCGTTAACGCGTGCCGGCTTGGAAGTTTCCCGAATCAGTCGGTTTCGTGTTGGGAAAATTGCAGGGTTTTCTGCAATTTCTGGAAAACTTTCCATACTGGTTATGATACCAGCACCAGTCGGGGTTATCTGTCTCTCGTGGTCTAGAGACAGATCGCTTACGAG